ATTATTTTAAAAATTAACATTGCATAATATTTAATTATTTAAAAAATATTTTTGAATATTCAGTAATTAAGAGATAGGAGAGAAAGATAAAATATATATAGGTGAGATAAGAAAGAAAAAATATGAAGAATTTTAAATTTTTACTTTTTTTTTAAAGAATTTGAAATTATACTATTTTAAGGAATTTCATAAATGCTTGAATTTCAAATTCTTTATAAATTATCTATTCAAACAAAACACTTCATCTCAAGACATTTGAAATTCTTTAAAAAAAGAATTATTCCTTTTAAATTCATCATCCAAATACACTTTTGATTAGTGAAAGTAATCCCATCTCAACAAAAACATCCAATGGCAATAGCCATTGATCTCTAAAATAACATGCACATTCCCAACTAACTGTAATGATCACTAAATTAACCAACAACCTCATATAATTAAGTAGTAGAAGTTATAGCGCCCGAGCCACTAAAACTACGCCAATCCTAAGCTAGCCAAACCATTATATACACCAATCCTATGAGGCTAGAGAAACTCAAGCCTTAATCTAGATATTTTTCTTTTCATCTTTCATTACTATACCTTGGTGAGTGGTGTGGCCTAGGTGTTTTCACAATGAGGAAGAGTTCCACTTTTCAAAGGGTGCTTGTGTTGCACTACAGGGTGCCCCGCTTTCTTCTTCTATGTTTCTATTTTCCAATTTTATTGCTGTAACTGCCAATGAAGCCTCTACAGGTTCGTGCTCTAAGCCTACTTGTGTATAGATAATTTTCCATTTTTTGTTCCACAAAATAAGTACCAATGTACCATAGCTTCATAGTTGTAGCAACATTACATGATTTACATCCATTCTCAGCTTGAGCCACAACTGTAACAGCCCAATTTTCAATGGGCCGTAGGCCCAATTCAGTTGCAATTTTTAACTCTGAACTGCCTTTTCGGTATGGTACTTTTAAAGTTTCAGCTTCGGTATAATATAAAATGGAGAAAGACTTTTCACTTGACAAGTTGATCTGCGGTCTCAACTCCTCAGGACACTATAGAATAAGAATAGAATAAAAGAGAAAAAAAATAATCATTTTATCGCATGTATAATCTTATAATTCAATAATATAGTGCATAGACTACAAAGTAATCTTTGTGTAATTTACCAGAACTGTCTTTGGCTGCAATGTCTCTAGTAAAGGTTTAACTTTCTGCAACCTATAATGTGGAAATCAAAAAATAAAGAGAATGATAAATACATAAACCAAATTTTAGTCGGTAAAGATTAAACTTTTTTTGATAAAGATATAATTAATATAAAAACAATTCATGTGTCTTCACCTAAAATCTTAAGTTGCTAGATGAAGATACATGATTACTGATATGGTACAAGTCTATCAGAAGTCAGAACCTATCTACTCTAATTGAGAAGATGTCAAATCCTACAAACTTCATGCTCCAAAATAAAATGCCTCATATCAGCTATGAATATGCTAAAATTTCAATGAGGATTTATTCAAACAATGAGGATGGCAAGAGTCAAACTATGAATCACGTGGTCAGAGACTATGTTACCATGTCATAAACAAACAATCCCAAAAAGTGAAGCGGTAAATGAAGACATGAATAATTTTATTATATGTTACATTTTAATGACAAAAGTATAAAGAAATTATCGTTTTCAAAAGGTACTTTGAAATGTGGAGCCAAGAAAAAAGAGACAAACGATGTACTCCACTCCCTAACTCAAAAAAGTTAATATATGGTACTAAGGAGCCCATCCATATGTTTATCAAGGTTGTATTTTAAATTCTTGATAGGTTTTTCTCACCCCCTATGTTTCTTGGTTAACACTATAGAGTATACATAGACTATCACCGGCCAGATGTTTAGAGATTTTGAAAATTATCAGTGAGAACAATTTAAGACATACATGAATGTACATAATATATTGGAAGAAGTAACTAGAGGGAAAGGTAAACCTACCCTATTCCAGAGGGAAACAGACATTGACAAACCTTCATTGCAACTGGATTGAAAGGTAAAAGTGCTAGCTCAAGATTCAAAACACCCTGCAGAGAGTAAATTCAATGCAACATTGGCCATGGACATTTAAACTTCATTAGAAGGACAAAACATAAAATACTGCACATATCAAGATACTTCAACCCCCGAGCACAAAGGAATAAAATGGCTACAATGAAGCATCATAATTACTATTTATATTATGTGAGGAAATATATCATACCTCAATAATAAGTAAAGATTTTGGATCACCACACCATCGACGAAGCAAATGAACAATAGGACCCATACGCAAACTCCAGTGAGGACAGAATACAATGCAAGGTTCCTGCCAATTAACTCTACAAGCAATACATTAGTTTCTGTAATAAAATTACAATAAAAAACCATTTCTGACTTATGCCATTCGTTAAAATCAAACTCCTCTGATATCTTGAGGTTATTAAGAGAAACTCAACTCAAACAGCTATGAAACACAAATTTCCCCCAAATAGTTTTTTACGTTGCAATGTGAAATAACACTTGATTTCAAATCTAAAATGTGCAATAAAAAGAACACAAAATTTGATTAACAAATTCCATTATAACAGTTCATTTTAAGGGAAGAGAAGGGAAGAACATGGTAAGAAAACTCACAAGAGTTCATGTGAATGAGCAGCAGGAACCACATGAATCTTTCTCTCTTTTAGGAGCTTGATGTGTGCAAACAATGGTTCCCCAGCAAATAACTGCAGCACCAATTAAAGTAGGTAAAACAAAAGTCAAACTTTATAAATAAAAGTATCCAAGTGCAATGGACCAAAATAATAATTCTAAGCCCGTACCCTTTCTTGACGTTGTTTGCAAAGCCATTCAGGTATGATGTTAAGCAACGCCAGTAACTCTAAAAAAATAATCATTTTATCGCATGTATAATCTTATAATTCAATAATATAGTGCATAGACTACAAAGTAATCTTTGTGTAATTTACCAGAAATGTCTTTGGCTGCAATGTCTCTAGTAAAGGTTTAACTTTCTGCAACCTATAATGTGGGATGTTAGTGCACTATTGTTGTCTAGTGTAGGATATGTTTTCACTGTAGTTTTGTTATGCTAGTAGGAGTACCGTATTGATAGATTTGGATTTTGTGGTCTTCATGGAAGTTGTAGTCTTGGATGTGATCTTTTCAATGGCACTAGAATGAGATAAAATGAAGGTTTAGAACTTCAGTTATAGTTGTTTTGGTAATCAGAGGCTAGTTATAAGCGTTAAATATATCTGTTGTGATTTTGAATTGTTAGCTGAGAAGAGGATCTATTCAGAATCTCATGTCTTCATAAGAGTTATAACTTATTCTTTTATCTTTCTTTTGAGATAGGATTGAGATCGTTGGACAAGTGTAACTCTCTAGGTATCATTTTCCTTGACAGTTATTGATGGGATATGTATGCTATCATGATGTTTTTGAGTTACTAGGCAATGCAAGGATAAAATTGCAATTACTAAATATTAGAACCTAGAAGTCAGTGAGTAATATCCAAATGTCCTTTTTCCAAATAGTCATGTTTATTCGACTAGAAAATTAAATGATTTCAAGTTCATAAAAGATGGAACTTTGACATTCCCTGTCTTTCCCAAATCCCATTACAAGCACTAAAACAAAAAATAAAAGGATTTGGTCTGGTCTGTCTCTTGACAAACAAAATTAGAAAATCAGAAAAAGAAAAGAAAACAGAACTTAAAGCAAATGCCACGTATTGTAAAGAGAGGCAGTTTACAAGCAACTAAAAAGGATGAGTATGGGGTACTGCAGGACAAGGCTAATTAATGACACCCAAAATATTATTCCAAATTTCCATCATAGTTTTTCTTGACTTTGATAATTGATTAATAAAAAACATAGACAAAAAAAGGAAAAAAAATAGGATACCCTCAAATCTGAAGCTTCAAGTAATGTTGTCATTTCCTCCAAAAGAAGCAAAACAGTTCCAAGTCGGTCTATAGGAATAAGAACTGAACAACCTTCATTGATACAGTCTATTGCACATGAGCATATGAAAACCAACTTTTTCTTTTCTTCTAAATTCTCGTCAAATTTATGGTTTAATCCAGCCAAATCTTGAGAACTTCAGTAATAACCAACATGGAAATCAATATAAAGACATAAATATTCATTACTACAACCAGTGGATGAAAACTTGAATAACAATAACTTTAAGTGTCTAGTGGATACGACATAAAGTTTGAAAGGGGATAAAATTTCATACCTCATAGGTAATAACTTATCAGCAGTTAGAACAGAGTTACTATCCCCATCCTCGCCATCTTGAGTATCAGTAAAGGATAAGAAGTCTGAATAAATTAATGCACAAGTCCCCTGTAAACTGCGGTAATCAAAAGGCATTGCATGTGCAGAAATGATGTTGGATCCCGAAAGATAAGTAATATCTCCCTTCGGACTACCTAGAATCCAATTACAACTTCCTATTTCTGTACCGGAGCTGAATGCTTTTATAACTAATGTACCATTGTAGCAAGCTTCCTCAGCATAATTAAGCTTGTGAATCTTTAGCATGCAATCCTTCACATCACCTGCACTGAGAAATTCCAAAAATTAAAACCTAAACGAAAATGGATACAGCAGCAAGATTTACATATCAGAGTAAAAAGCAACAGCTTAACTACAATAACAAAGACTATATAATACATTACATATAGAATTTCCAAATGATCATATGTATAAAAATTACACAAGGCAAATCACTGATAGAATCCCAGAATCCAAATGAGTGTTAAATATACCCATCCCATACCCTGAATGGGGTGTCATGAGATTTTCACTGACTCTTATGATTTGTCTGGATGAGACAAAAACGAAAATAGGAGAGAAAACACAAAGAATGATGTATTTTTGTTTTATTTGGTTGAAGAGAAAATAGAAAGAAAAAGGAGAGGAAAGTTGAATTTAGAAACAAAGGTTCAAATTTTTCTCTCCTTCCATTTTGTCTGCATTCAAATTTCAAAATTTTCTCCCCTCATTTTTTCTAGTCTGAGAGTTAAAGATAAAGCTCAAGCAAAGAAGCAATAAGCAAGTCAAAATCACTTATTAATTAAAAAATATAATTAATCAATCCCAAGAAAACAACACAGAACCAGTGCATGTAATAATCAAGCTACTTCATGCAGTTTTGGATATTGAATATATAGCTCCATGTAAGTTTTTTGAGATAAAATGCAAACTAATTAATGGTAGATCACCTGTACAATGGCATCCAACCACCCAACTCCACTCCATCTTTTCCCAATATTATCTCTCTCAATTCAGAAGGAAGGATTTCAAGCTCTTCCTGCCTCAGCCATGCAGGGAAATTTGATTCCTCTGGTCCATAAAACTGACTGAATTCCACATGCATTGATACAAGATCCTCCATCATTAGCTGGCCTAATCTTGCCGATGCTTCCGTTATATATATCTAACAATTGAAAAAACATTAAGCTAACAAATTAGGTGACAGAAATTAACAAAAATAAGAACATAGTCCAGTAATAATAACAATAACTTGCAACATCAGAAGAGTACCTTAGTTGAGAAACCCTTCATTCGAGTAAGAAAAGGCAATCCCAGAATACCCATTAGACTGGAGATTAATACGACATCAATGAAAGAAGAATTCCACAGGTGCAAGTTATTAACAGTCTTGTACCAAGGTTCAGTAAAAAGTAAGCTTTTAGCATCAAGGAGCTTTTCAATTTTGTTTTTTCCCAGACCCAACTCTTGAATCAAGAAAACCATTGGCCACAGTATTGCCGCTTTCTTCGGATGGCAAGAAATCAAAAGCAGCAGGTACAGGAGAAAACACCAAGAGAGAAGAAAGGTCCAGTGGGCAATCTAATAAGATTCTAATCCCACAAAAATTTAGCATGTGACATGGTGGGAAGTGAAAGCCCCCACCTTTGCCCAAACATGTCTGCAAAACCCAGGAAAGAACACAAAAATTTAAACCATGAAGAGAACTTTCTCTGAATTGTATAATTAGAAGGTTCATTGACAAGACCCTACACACATAAGGCACACGAGACAAAGAGATACCGTAACCATAAGAAACTCACAGACTTCATAGAGGATGAAATGGATAGCCTTTTGTAGATTCCCGTAGAAGGTAGGAGTGGCTATGAAAGATGAAAGAGAGACAAAGAGGAGCACAAGAACTTTTAGCTGAAGGGAGCACTTTATCTCCAAACAACCTACAAATGTATCCCATAAATTATCAATATGTCAATTAGTAAAAATAAAAAAATAATAAATAAATATTTCAAGTCAAATAATTGTAGGATCTCTTAAATAGATGAAGCAAACAGACCTATATTGAAAGTACTTTGAATATCACTTGCTTGTCCAAACCGATATAAAAAGTACTTTCTATGTTATTTAAAATACAGCCAACAAAGAAATTGTGGTGTTATTTACAAAAATGTCACCGTATTTTTTTTATAAAGCCACCAACATTTTATCCTGTTATAGAATCACTATTCTGCACTAGTGATCTTGTGTAATTTCATAGTGTTTTCTATACACACAATTATGGTGAAGTCAATTGCAACATATATAGTCAAATATCAATCTCAAACAAAATTACAGAGAAAGTACTACAACATTTACAATCATAGAATCAATCACAATTATTGATACTTGCATAGAATTCGCAGACATAGGTAGCATATTGTAGTAAATGACTCATCAACCTCATCGAAATTCCACAAGTCAAAGAGGCATGCAACCAAAAACATTCACAAGAGACATGTTATTGGAAAAAACCCAAGTCTCATATCGACTAGAGATTAGGCAATTAAATAGTATATAAGTGGAAAACAACCCTCACCTTACAAGCCAGTTTTGTAGGGTTGAGTTAGGCTTAAATTTACTATTCTAAGATGGTATCAGAGTTGTCCTAGATTCTTAAAAATGGGTCACCCACCATTGATACATGAACCATGGGCATGAGGGGTGTATTCAAGTCCTACCAATCCTAGATCATTAAAAAAAGGGTCACCTACCATTTATCCACGTAGCAAGCCCAATAATACTGGATGTGAGGGGGGTGTACTGGAAAAAACCCAAATCCCACATCGACTAGAGAATAGAGATTAGGTAATTAAATAGTATATAAGTGGAAAGAAACCCTCACCTTACAAGCCGGTTTTGTAGGGTTGAGTTAGGCTTAAATCCACTATTCTAAGACATGTGAACCTTTGAACCCTCACAAGGGTAACAACCAATTCATTGTAAGTATTCTTAATCATTATATTCAAGCAAAACAGTGAAGAAAGGGCATGCCAAACCAATGAGTTACACATACATCTCATTCATTCTTTTATCTTAAGCATGACATAACACTTACATTTTAGGCAAGGCTTATACACATGAATTTCTTGTTGGAACAAGGAATACATCATACATTCACCTATGCATCTTGAGTTTCCATCTCGCACATATGCAAGTATCATTAAAACTATTCAGCCCCTTTTTAATCCACATAACTGGGCTTAGTGAGAGATCATTAAAAACACTATTGAAGACAACACTACAAGAAAAATCAGCATTATCTACGGAAAAAATCCATAGATAATGATGAAAATTCGTAGATAACTGATAATTATCTACGGATTATCTACAGAAAAAAAATCCGTAGATAATAAGGTCGTAGATAACGTTATCTACGGATAATTTTTCGTAGATAACGTTACCTACAGATTTTATCTACGGATACAGAATTTATCTACGGATGAGTTTATCTATGGAAATTTCCGTAGATAACTTATCTACGGAAATTTTCGTAGATAACTTACCTACGGAAATTTTCGTAGATAACTTACCTACGGAAATTTCCATAGGTAAGTTATCTGCGGAAATTTTCGTAGATAACTGATTTCAACATAACAGAGATTATTTTGTTTTACCTTTCCACACCAATCATTATAAATAGTTTTACCTGGTCAGAAATATTAATAAAATCACTTCTCATATTTCTTTAAATATCCTATAACCACAATATGAAATCAAACATCTTTAAAATCTAAATACCCATAGCAATTATGCATAATTAGTTTCCATGTCATAGTGTAAAATAAGACTATTTTGCATAAAATTATACATAAAACTTAGCTTTTCAAACTCATAGGAAACTATATGTTGAGTAGAACATATCTTGTAGGTGGTAGTTTTTCAAACTCGGATAAAAACTTAGCTTGCAATCTACTTCTTCAATTAAACGAATTACATCCTAACTATAACTATTTTAAAGTAAAAAATCAAAAGAAATCTTACAAAAGCTTTAAAAGCAGGGCGATGAGCAGCCATCTCGTATATACAGCACCCTGAGCAAGAAAAATGCTTTTTAGCTGCGGCAAAACCAAATATGCAAGTATTAGATACTAGGTTGTAAAGTACATACCTAGTGACCAATATCAGCAAGCAGTTCAGGGCACATGTAATTAGGAGTTACTACCACCTGTATAGAAACATTTACAGCAATTATTAATTCAATATGTGGTTACTATGAATTTTTATATAAGCGTAACACTAATCATATGGAATTAAAAGTTGGTAGCATTGTCATATTTCAAACCTTTAGAAGTTGAACATTATTAAAATATGAATTTTGTCCACACAAAATATGAGAGATAATAAACAAGTTTGCAACAGCAAGGTCTCTCAGCTGAAAGAGCCCAAATTCTAGAAAAGATCTTGTCCTATTATCAATAAGAGCAATAACACTTTTCTTATCTATCAAATTTCAAGCAAGAAAGCAAATTCAGTTCACTCAAACAACACTCAATTCCTATTTCCACTATTTTCTTTGTCTGAAATATAGTTTGTAACTTAAAAGGATCAGGAAAATAAGGCTTGCTCACTAGAGGGAAGGGTATGGGGCTGAAAATTTATGTTTTGCATGAAGCAAACATTATTGTTCCCCTTTTTTTGAAGAAAAGGGAACTGATTAAACAAATTATTTCCGTCGACCATACTTTCTGTTACTTTAAAATGAAAAATGTTTTGGTGAACGTCTAGTTTCAATAGAAAAAATAAATGAAATGTAAGGTGTGAAGGAACAAATAAATTTAACAATAGGATAATTTTAACTAAACATAGTTCAGATGATATTATTAGTCCTTGGCTGGCTTGGCCAATAGACGAAAAGCTCAGTAACAATTAAAAATGCTGAAGCTTCTGGTTCTCATAAACAGATAAAGTATTATGGAGCAAAAATTAGATGTCCAAATAACTATGCATGCCTATTTGACAATTAGAATTGATGTCTTCTTAGTATATCTCTATAAGTCTACACAAGACCTAGAAAGAAAAGGTTATGATTTAAAGATGAAAAACTCTAAAACCGTAATTCTGCATAATGCATTAGTGCTATGGAAACTTGATAGGAAAAATGTTTTGCATGAATCTTAGAGATCTTTTTTGAGCAAAAAAAAAAAAGATAAAGAAGAAAGCAACATGTTCCCAGTGTTACACATACCGAAGATGCCAAATCATCTACTTTTAGTGTCTTAGCAAGCCCAAAATCCCCTACATGACAGAAAAATAAGGACAAATTCAGATGAGGACTTAAAAATCTATCTCCAATATAATCAAAGATGGGTAGGTAGGTGAACTCACCTAGGCGAACATCCTGATCCTTGATAAGAAAGATGTTGGAACACTGTCAACAGAGTCAACAAAATCAGACTTAATACATTTAAAATGAAAGACAAGAATCATAGACCATATAGTCTGTTTCATAAAAGTATACCTTTAGGTCACGATGTAAAACAAAATTTGAATGCAGGTATTCCACTGCCAACAGTAATTGAGTGAACCATTTGCAGAGTTTCTGAGCAATTTCAACAACATTCAAAGTAAGCCATGGGAAAAGAATACATGCATAAAAAAACACAAACTCACAAACTTGGGACAACAATACCTCCTCAGGAAAGTAAGCACCGTTTAATTTTTTCATCAATTCAGCCCTGTTACAGATTTGAAGAGAAAATAAGCATAAAAAACTTTTAAATAACTGGAGAGAACAAGTATAGTAAACTTTAAGAGATTGAGCATATAAAATTTATGATTTGAAAGACACCGTTAGATCGATGTAATGACAAATTTCAGTCACCATCAAGAGTATACAAGAACGCGCACGATCTTTTATTAATGTAATGGTTCCGAGAATCAATGTTGAAGACCGTACAAAACATTTCATCTCAACACATTTGAAATTCTTTAAAAAAAAAAAAATTACTCCTTTTAAATTCACCATCCAAATACACTTTGATTAGTGAAAGTGATCCCATCTCAACAAAACATCCAATGGCAATAGCCATTGATCTCTAAAATAACATGCACATTCCCAACTAATTGTAACGATCACTAAATTAACCAACAACCTCATATAATGTCAATTGCAACATATATAGTCAAATAACTTTAATTATGGTGAAGTCAATTGCAACATATATAGTCAATTGCGACATATATAGTCAAATAACTTTAATTATGGTGAAGTCAATTGCAACATATATAGTCAATTGTAACATATATAGTCAATTGCAACATATATAGTCAAATAACTTTAATTATGGTGAAGTCAATTGCATCATATATAGTCAATTGCAATATATATAGTCAATTGCAACATATATAGTCAAATAACTTTAATTATGGTGAAGTCAATTGCAACATATATAGTCAATTGCAACATATATAGTCAATTGCAACATATATAGTCAATTGCAACATTTATGTAAATAACACCACAATTTCTTTGTTGCAATTGACTATATATGTTGCAATTGACTTCACCATAATTGTGTGTATAGAAAACAATATGAAATTACACAAGATCACTAGTGCAGAACAGTGATTCTATAACAAGATAAAATGTTGGTGGCTTTATAAAAAAAACGCGGTGACATTTTTGTAAATAACACCACAATTTCTTTGTTGGTTGTATTTTAAATTTAAATAACATAGAAAGTACTTTTTATATCGGTTTGGACAAGATTCAAAGTACTTTCAATATAGGTCTGTTTGCTTCATTTGTTTAAGAGATCCTGTAATTATTTGACTTGAATTTTCCTTGCTTGAAGTGAGTTTTTATTTATTTTTTATTTTTTTTTATTTTTACTAATTGACATATTGATAATTTATGGGGTACATTTGTAGGTTTTTTGGAGATAAAGTGCTCCCTTCAGCTAAAAGTTCTTGTGCTCCTCTTTGTCTCTCTTTCATCTTTCATATCCAAGTATCATTAAAACTATTCAGCCCCTTTTTAATCCACATAACTGGGCTTAGTGAGAAATCATTAAAAACACTATCGAAGACAAATTGAGGTGAGATCACTTTCATTTGAACAACCAAATAATGTATATACGAGGCATATGTACGTGAATGATTTCATATCCATACTTGTTCTAGTCTTAACCCTAACTTTTCCCATACTTATGCAATTGTAGCCATAGATTGGTTCTTACTCTAGGACATAACTAAATGCCCGTAAACCGTATTGCAACATAAGGGGTACTTATAGGTCATGTATAATGTATCATTTATTACATTCCAAAACTTTTGGCCTTATTGGGTGATAGCTTGGTGGAGGAAGATGAGAGGGAGACTGTCAAGGAGCTTTTCAATTTTATGTCTTTTCCCAGACCCAACTCTTGAATCAAAAAAACCACTGGCCACAGTGTTGCTGCTTTCTTCGGATGGCAAGAAATCAAAAGCAGTAGGTACAGGAGAAAACACCATGAGAGAAGAAAGGTCTAGTGGGCAATCTAATAAGATTCTAATGCCACAAAAATTCAGCATGTGACATGGTGGGAAGTGAAAGCCCCCACCTTTGCTCAAACATGTCTGCAAAACCCAGGAAGAACACAAAAATTTAAACCATGAAGAGAGCTTTCTCTGAAGTGTATAATTAGAAGGTTCATTGACAAGACCCTACACACATAAGGCACACGAGACAAAGAGATATCGTAACCATAAGAAACTCACAAACTTCATAGAGGATGAAATGGATAGCCTTTTGTAGATTCCCGTAGAAGGTAGGAGTGGCTATGAAAGATGAAAGAGAGACAAAGAGGAGCACAAGAACTTTTAGCTGAAGGGAGCACTTTATCTCCAAACAACCTACAAATATACCCCATAAATTATTAATATGTCAATTAATAAAAATAAAAAAATAATAAATAAATAAAAACTCACTTCAAGCAAGGAAATTTCAAGTCAAATAATTGCAGGATCTCTTAAATAGATGAAGCAAACATATCTCCAAACAACCTACAAATGTATCCCATAAATTATTAATATGTCAATTAATAAAAATAAAAAAAATAATAAATAAATAAAAACTCACTTCAAGCAAGGAAATTTCAAGTCAAATAATTGCAGGATCTCTTAAATAGATGAAGCAAACAGACCTATATTGAAAGCATAGTTGTCAATAGCGGTAGGAGCGGCCGCTATCGCGGCGCTCTGGAGCGGAGCGGCCCGACGCCGCAATTGTTGGTCTGTCGCGTCTCGGATTTGTGTTGCGGCTGGAGCGGCCGCGTCGGTCGTGGAGCGGAGTGGCCAAAAACGGCGGAATCGCGGAGCGTCTTGGACTTACCCTTCATTAAGGGTAAGTCTGTCATTTCAGGGTTTTTTTTTCCCTAATTCTTCCTCTCCCCCTCGCGGAACCAGTCCTGTTGTTTAGGGTTTTTCGCGCTCCTTCTTAATCAAGCTACTTCATGCAGTTTTGGATATTGAATATATACCTCCATGTAAGTTTTTTGAGATAAAATGCAAACTAATTAATGGTAGATCACCTGTACAATGGCATCCAACCACCCAACTCCACTCCATCTTCTCCCAATATTATCTCGCTCAATTCAGAAGGAAGGATTTCAAGCTCTTCCTGCCTCAGCCATGCAGGGAAATTTGATTCCTCTGGTCCATAAAACTGACTGAATTCCACATGCATTGATACAAGATCCTCCATCATTAGCTGGCCTAATCTTGCTGATGCTTCCGTTATATATATCAAACAATTGAACAAAACATTAAGCTAACAAATTAGGTGACAGAAATTAACAAAAATAAGAACATAGTCCAGTAATAATAACAATAACTTGCAACATCAGAAGAGTACCTTAGCTGAGAAACCCTTCATTCGAGTAAGAAAAGGCAATCCCAGAATACCCATTGGACTGGAGATTAATACGACATCAATGAAAGAAGAATTCCACAAGTGCAAGTTATTAACAGTCTTGTACCAAGGTTCAGCAAAAAGTAAGCTTTTAGCATCAAGGAGCTTTTCAATTTTATGTCTTTTCCCAGACCCAACTCTTGAATCAAGAAAACCATTGGCCACAGTGTTGCTGCTTTCTTCGGATGGCAAGAAATCAAAAGCAGTAGGTACAGGAGAAAACACCATGAGAGAAGAAAGGTCTAGTGGGCAATCTAATAAGATTCTAATGCCACAAAAATTCAGCATGTGACATGGTGGGAAGTGAAAGCCCCCACCTTTGCTCAAACATAACGATAACAGAGGCAGAAGAAGAACGCCGCACGATAGCAGGCACAGTAAAAGCTCAGTTTTGATTTTTTACCGTAATCCACGGAGAGACACTCGAGCAGGAGGGAGCCGAGGCCGGAGCCGGTGCCTCCGCCCACGGCGTTGAAGACGAGGAAGCCCTGGAGGCCGGTGCAGTTGTCGGCGATCCTTGCCGACTAGAAATGGAAATTAGGGTTAGGGTTACGTTATTGGAAAAAAAAGGGAAATGTAGAGAGAGGGGGGAGGTTACCTGTGTAGTGGCCTCGGGGCGAAGTTGTTGGCGGCGTCTTCCTTGTCGGAGATGAGTTGCTCCGGGTGAAAGAGTTGGTGGGAGAAGGGGTTTGGGGGCGGAAGAGAGAAGATGAATTTCGGAGGTTGAGAGTAGGTGCACCCGATAATTTAGTTTGTGCTTAATTTATTTTAAAAAATAAATAAATAAACATTTATTTTAAAATATAATTTAAATCAATCATGTTATTATTGAATTAGATTAAAATCAAGGAATTATTTTAAATTTCATTTGTATAGGATAATCATATTAATTTAGTATCAAATTTTTAATTAGTCTCACATCCTATTAACAATTAAAAGTTGGGTTGTTAGATTATAAAAATTAAATCATAATAAATTAAAAGATTATAAAAATTATAATTCAAATCA